CTGTAAATGTGCTTCCTAACGGTGAAATAGTTTGAAGGAAATTGAAATTTGCACCTTCTTCTTCACATTTTGCTTTGTTGGTTTGATAAAATTACTTCACAAATTTCAGTTCACTTTCTTCTGGAACTTTGGTCCCAACATCTGCGAGTGGCATAAGGTCAAATTCGAATACAGAATCCAATGCGATCAGAACATCCGAATTTTCCTTGAAACGACGCGACATTTCAGACAAAGTCAAATCCAGTATTTTATCAAACGCGTGTCGTTGCTTTTCTTCATTTTGTGAATTTGATTGTACGTGACTGCGAGTAACACTTGCAGAAAGCAACACAGGCTCATCTGGCTCACTTTCACTTAGAAGAATCGTAGCTGACTGAATGTAATTGTTGAAGTTATTTTCGTCTTTCCTTTGTTCAATGTCATTAATGACTGTGTCAATAATTGGTTTACCGATTTTGTAGCCAACACTGCGACTATGTAGCATTTTATCAGCTGGTGCGATTAGCTCAAACAAATCCTTAAAAAAAACCAACAAAGTCTTTGACTGCGATATAAACGAACGTGATTTGATATTTGTTTGAGATTGAAGTGAATCATTCGTTCGTTGAATAAATTTCAATCCATTTTTGCATTTGATTATGTGGCGTAATGTTTCTAATTTTTCAAATAAGAATCGCCAAACTCCAGGGGGGCTCAGAAAATTCCAGAGGGGGCTCAGCCCCTTGCGCCCCTATGGACGCTACGGCCCTGATCCTAATTAATCTGTATCAACAATGCGAATCTCTCGACGTTTACGTATGGGATAATTTTAAAACCTTCAGTCAAATTTTTTTCTGATGTTTCTTCATTGAATATTCTATTGGACCTTAATAGATTTTGAAAGAGATAACAATCATAGGTTTATGCCCAAATTGTACCGAATGCTGCGAAGCAAGGAAAATGGTCCCTGAGTAAAAAGAATCCATACACTTTTTAATCAACTTGTGCTAAGGAATCTGTGGTATAGAAATTAGCACGGTGGTAAGACTGTATAGCGAATTTCGAAAAATTTGCAGATTTTTGCATTTAGCGAGTTGAAAAATCTATGTTAAAAGACGCATTGCAAAAGAGCAAAACACCGGAAACAAATTAACAATGATCGCTTAGACTCTCGATAAAATAACACTACTTCGTATCAAGTGCTTTTGCAAAATAGCCACTGTTCATTAATTTCTTAATCAAAAATTGCATTGTTAAAATCTACTGATTTCATGTTTCAATAACAAATCAAATGCCATTCCGCGTGCAAAAAACAAGCTATATAACACGAGGATATATTTCCAATATTGATCAGTCTGGTCGACATTTCATGCAAAGTCGGTGTTGCGTGAAACGACTTGCATAACAAAATAAAAGATTCATTTTGACTGTAAGAATGACTTCTATAGAAAATGAACAATACGAAACTGATAGATTTGTTAACTGAGGATTTTTATTCAATTGGAAAAATGTCACATTGTGTATGTTGATAGATTTTGGGATTGGATCTTAATCCCTTCGGATATCACTGCTGAAAAATTCCAAATCATACAATCTTATAGCGTAAAGAACATCACAATGTGTCTGCAAATCTGTTGTTTACCCATATCTATTTTGACAAAATGATTTTCTATTAAGAAAGAAAACTTCCATAAATGGAAATTCTTCTTAAATGTATCGAGTTAGATTTATAATTTAAAATAAATAAATTAGTAAATGATGACTTTAAAACACAACGTGAGAAAAATCGCACAACCAATATATATGATGATAAAATGATAAACGCTTAGGAATTCACCTAAATGCTTACATGAATTTCAAAAACTTCCCGAGTTAAAATTATAACTCGTAAATAACCCTTGGTAAAAAAAATATTCTGAGTTATTATGTTCTGATACCTGAAGAGTTGAATATATTGTTCGATAAATTTGACTAAGAACACAAATGAAATAGTCGAATAACGAATGAAATAGTCTACACGAACTCTTTAATTTCTAAACGTTAAAATATGTCACATATTTTATTATAATAATTTTGATTTTTAATTTATGGTATTCTATTTTGTTTTAAAAATGTCTTTAAGTTGATGTAAAATTGATGAATTCCATTTGTGAAATTTATCGCAGGATATGAAAATTATCCAATTCCCTGTCAAAATTTAGGAGATTTCTGTTCTTTCGTAAATTGATTTTTACAATAATCAATTAGGAAAAATTATTCATAAAGGCCAATAAGTTTTATTTCCAATATTTGTATATGAAGTGTTCTAACATTGTGCACAGAGTGAAAATAATAATAACAACAACAAAAAAACACATAAAAAAGTGCACATAATGTTTAGTAGAATTTTGGATAAGGAAATACAAACATCAAGGCACAAGAAATATATTTGTAGTTTTGCTCTAAACACCTGAAAAATTAAAAACAATTGATCTGCATTTCGACCTGAATTTTGTAAATATGTTTATTGATTGTTTGTTCACTTGTAAGGTATTCATTTGAAAAGAAACAAGTTACATCGATCATACATTGCAACATATGATGAAACCAAAAATTAAGATACTTTGAAATACTAGTTATAATAAACGTATGTGCATTTCCTTCATGTTTATGACTATATTCGCGATGTATTTTCATTATTTTATTCGTTATGTTCATGGCGTGATGAAAAGTTATGTTTCTATTTTACAGAGGAATTAAATATAATAAAAAATGACCTGCTTAAACAATAACGAATTATTAGGCATACAATTGTTTCGGGACGTGTAAACTTTCTTTTCCTCTATATATATGCCCTATTTTAATTCAATATTTTATTTATTTTTCCTGCTATCGGACTCAAATTCAGGCTTTTCCATGAGCAAAAGATATTCCGCTTTTGTTTTAACTGAGTCAAATTTTGGTTTATTTTCTTTGAATTAAGAGAAAAATTGTTAAATATATTGTATTGTAATAAAATAAACACAATTGATGATTTCTTTGAATGATGATAAGGAAAACAAAGTATTTATCTGTAAAAAAATGGAAATAAATTATACACACATTAATAAATCACATTTCACCCCTAATTAATTAGGACTCATTTGGTTTCGAATGTGACTGAATGTAATACTTTATTCGCAAACCGGTGCGAAATGGCAATTAATGAAGACGATAAGTATTTTATTTGGTACAGCTACAGGGTATACATTTGCGATTTGTGTCTTGATGTAACCAACGCACATAACACATAGATTGCCCTAATAAAAATAATCGAGGTGCTAGAAATTTAAAATAGTTTTTTGAATCCAAAAATCTTACGAACATTTTTGCATGCGGATTTTTTTAAGGTGAACATAATTTTTAATTGCATATCCAAACCGATTATGCGAAAACAAATTTGATATTCACCACATGACATTTGCATGCAAAAAATTGCATTCACTTCGAAAATTTCGTCAGGCGGAGATTTTTGCACAGAATTTCGCATGGTGAACTATAAACTACAGTATTTGACACTTAAATCGTACGGATTCAGGTAAACTCCAATTGCATGTACAGATTTACATTTTGCCGTAACACATTAATATTGTAACGAAGAGCTAAAGTAATGCTATTACAATTGTAATGCCAAAATTTAGCATTACCGGTAATGTTTACAATTATAATAGCTATTACTTGACCCGTTCGTTACAATATTAACATGTTACCTAAAATTAACGGTAATGCCAGAAATCTAACATTATTAATGCGATTTTCTAACATTACACACGCAATGTAATGCCACGTAACATGTCACATTTGGCATTACATTGCGTGTGTAATGTTAGAAAATCACATTAATAATGTTAAATTTCTGGCATTACGGTTAATGTTAGGTAACATGTTAATATTGTAACGGACGGGTCAAGTAATAGCTATTACAATTGTAATGCCAGTCATTTGGCATTACGGGTAATAGCTATTACAATTGTCAATTGTAATAACATTACAGCAAATTTTTGTTAACGTAATGCTACTACCTATTACATTTTTAATGCCGGTAAATCTGTAATTGCATGAAGTGAATGAAAAGAAACCATAGAATGAGATTTTTGTATTTACATTTTTAATGTATTTGTGTCATTTTCAAAGTCTACCAAGTGAATTATTTGAATGCAGGCTGAAGAATTACTGTCAATGATCAGACGTTTTTAGATTCATTGTCAGTTGCCGTGAACTGATGAATGGCATTGTTGCGTAAGGGAATGTCGTCTCAAACGGGCCACACTTTGATTAACCACTATAACATCCTTAAAAGTGCATATTGTTTACAACATATATATACCACTGGAAAGAGGACCTCACAAGGAAACTTTTTGCTCTGTGACTCCTCCGTTTGCATTTTTAAAAAAATTATCGCAAATTTTCCAAACACCTTGAAAATGGCCGAGAAAATTTGTCGGGTCAAACGAGCCACCTATGGAATAAGAGAAATAATGAAATAACAACTCCATATTTCGAATGATTATTAAATTTTTATTCATTTATGTACTTTCGACATGAAAATTGAGGAGTGCTATTCGTCGAAATCTTCAGCATCCTCACCATTATCTGAAAGGCAGTTTTCACAAGTGAACTTTTTGGTATACGATTTGACACAAAAATTTTCCACCTGAATATATGAAAAGAAGCGATATAGTCACTTTGAAATGCCATGATATTGCTTTCAACATGATATTTCATCTAAAAATAGTGCCTCAGTGTCATACAAAGAAAATGTTGGGTGGCCCGTTTGAGACGACAAAGGTGACCGGTCTGACCTAAAACACGCCATTTTTGCATGACGATACAAAAAATTTCTATGATGAAATAACATTCCAAGAGAAACGACCAATATTTATACGCTGTTTATCCGCCGAAAATCCACTACAATATATATTCACGCTTATTGGACGCCCAATTGAATATATATTCTAGTGTATATTCAAAACAACCAAAAAGAACAGTCATACAATGAATCATTTTTATATTTTGATAACGTAGAAAAGTCAAATAAAATATTTATTCATTGAAACTTATGATCTACTCATAAACATTGCTGACTACGATTGTTCTGACGAAATGTAATTCATGAACATATTCGTTGCAAAAAAAAAGTTTTATTTTAATTGAAATCATTAGTGAGGATTGAATTATTATATATTGGAGTGCTTACGAAAATTATTAATAGAAAATATGTTTTTTTTATCTATTAAATAGACAATTTTTAGAATTCCAACTATTCTAACTTTCTAGATTCTAGGTGATAAAAATATTTTAACATAAATTTCTAGTAAAAATGTTCATTTTCTTACATTTAGCTGTAGATAAATCACAAAAACCACTTAAGTAATACACATTGAATCAATTGTTGTTAATTTCAGTTCTGCTGATTTTTTTAAAAAGTAGTTACCTCTTTTGCCATGAATGTGCTCGCAAATAGGAACGTATATGTTGTAAGAACTGCGAACGTAAGGAGTTTGTTAGAACAAATAAACGGTTCCAGTTCTGCCCATAAAGGCTTGAATTTTTAATAATTTTATATAATGACGTATGTATAGAATGAATAAATCTATCAGGAATGCATTCTTAAATTATTTCCAGTTAGAATCAAAACCAGCAGCAGTATCGGAATCAGACTCTGTTTGTGGATGTTCGGACAGTGAATGAATCGTGTTTGATCGAGATTGATTCGGTGTTGTTGGAACGCTACGAACTGTATTCAAATACTCAGCAGCACGCTTTGCTCTTCGTTTTTTCACCGTATTATATTTTGGTGGCATCATTACCTGTACAATGTCAAGGTATATTTATTTGTTGTTTGTAGAGTGTATCATCATATGACAATAAAAAAATGGAATTACCGGTGGGATATTATCAGCCGATCCCCAAGATTTATGGATCATATCAAAAGACGAAATGGGGACACTTCCCCTTGGTTGGAGAACCCGATGGCTTATATCATTTGAATTGTTTCCATATTGCAAATTACTATTGTTACCAACACCCAAGAAATTGCTAAATGCTTCCGTAGTTTTTTTCACCCGCACATTCAAGGATCCAATTCGAAGAAAACCCAGGTCTTTTTCTATAAAAAGAAACATTGTTGACGATCATTATTTAGAAGATAATATGACACCCACAGAATGAAAGAACAACTTATGATCTCTTTATCCATAACTGAGATGGAAAAAAACTTAGAACAAAAAAAAAGACAAATAAAGTTGTCTCGCCACTGGAAAGAGATAGCGTCTTCGGATTATTTGTAGCTTTTTTTATTTTCTGCAAATATGCCGAAGACACCTAATCGTTATCTATTTTCAGTACCGAGAAAAATGCAGAAACGTCTTTTCCGCTCAATGCTGAATTGTGCCACTTTTGCTCGCAACTTTATTTGTCCCTTTTTTGCTCTAAGTTTTTTTCCATCTCAGTTATGGATAAAGAGCTCATAAGTTGTTGTTTTGTTCAATTGGTGTCACATCCATAAGAGAACTATAAATTATCCACAATTTTGTTTATGTAAAGAGTATGGATAAAGAGCTATGTCAATTATGCTCATGTTTTTTATTATACACTTCCAGGCGAATTTTTCTACTACCTTGACCTCAGTTAAAATAAGGAGTGGATTGAAAGAGTATATGGACGCTTTTATGCATTAATGATTAATGGTGTTACATCATTCGATATATTGTGCAATGATAAATTTTCCTATGTTTTTATATGATTATGCTATATTTAGTGACATCTTTACGTAGAACACTGAACTACGAAACTTCTATATACATATACCATTAGCTATTTTTTGAAGTTCATATAAATACTGGAGGAAAATAGCAAAAAATAGCAAAAAAAAGCAATAACATTGAAGGAATAGCGATTTGTTATTTACTGTTTTTAACCGTTTAGAACAAAGTTTTCGAGTTATTTTATGAGATTAAATGAAACAATTTGTTCTTTTCTATGAAATAACATTGGAAAAATTGCCAAAATTTAATTGTTTTGCTTTCTCTCCAAGCAATACAATAACTTGATGAGTGTTACTTGTACTCAAACTGTCACGTTGCACATAGAAAATATTAGCAAAAGGGAAACTAGCAAAAATAGCATATGAATGTCCGAGAATGAAAACGCAAATTCTATTCACAACACATATAAGTTATCGGTATGTTGTTACACTTACTACATACCGATGTTACACTTTAAAAAAATCTTTTTTGTTGTTACACTTTGAAAAAATTCGATTTTGTTGTTTCATTTCAATAAATTTTTTATTTTTGTTTCACTTATATGTGATGCGTTTTCATTCTCGGACATTCATATATTATGAAACAATAGAATAAATTAGTGAAACTAGCGTTGGTGTCTCTCCCCTTGACTATCAATGACAGCTGCGATTGAGCCTATTTGCATTGCAAAATATTTCCTACAACAAACGTCATTCTATAGTTAATCACCTTGAAATTAACACAAACATACGTTTTCGGATAGCTCAGCATCTCAGCATTTTGTATGCAGTGGATATATTCAGCATATCGACGACGCAAGTCACTGTATAAGTCTATGGGTGAGATTGAGAGTGGAGTATGTTTTTCCTTCGATTTATATTTTTGAAAAGGCGAGTATGTTTTCTGATGATTCTGTTGGCGTTAAAGTAGAGTATGTTGTAGTACCGTCTAGCCTCCGCGGTCTTCATTTTTTTCGCGCAACTGATAAAAGATAACAACATGGTGTCTTCGGCAAAGTTGTAGTACTCAAGGTCTTCTATAACTAAGCTGAAGACAGTTATCTCTTATCTCTTATCAGTTGCGCGCAAATTGCGCACATAAAAAAGCAAATTTTATATAGAACTTTTTTTTTCTTATCATTTTTCGCGCTTTTCGCGGAACTGATAAGAGATAACTGTCTTCAGTTTAGTTATAGAAGACCTCAAGTGCTACAACTTTGCCGAAGACACCAAGTTGTTATCTCTTATCAGTTCCGTGGAAATCGTGAAAAACCACGAGGACCCGCTAAAAACGAACATACTCGCCTTTAACCATTTTTAAGTCGACAGAAACTTGCTCTTCTCTTTCGTAACAAAGTCAATGAAACATACACTACTCTCAATCTCACCCATAGAAGTGGCGTGCGTTGATTTGTTGATTTGTACAGCTACATCGTCTACACACGAACAGAGAGTTTTACACACAAACAGAGAGCGCAGAGTTTGTGTGAAGTCGATGTAGCTGTGGACATCAACGTACGCCAGTTATATAGTGACTTGCGTCGTCGATATGCTGGGATATATCCACTGCATACAAAATGCTGAGATGCTGAGCTATCCGAAAACGTATGTTTGAATTAACAACAATTTTTGATCGTCGCTCCCAAAAAGGTTTCTTGAAATAATATTAGCCAGTCGAATTTTATTCAAAAAAGCGATATTTTTGACATAAAATGTTGATGGAAGCGATGATATAGAATTGTTCTTATTCGTTTTTGTAATCGCTAGTTCGGTGCTTAAGAACTTCAAAGTGATTAACTAATCGAAAATCACCCAAGCATGTACTAATCGAAAATCACAAACATGTACAGTCGGCGCGATATGTCTTGACTGCATTGACATTTAGAAATAATGCTAAAAAACAACAACGGCTGTGCCAACCAAACAATGTACAAAACAGAAACACAACAATTTTATGTAGCCAGAGTGAGATAAACGTGTTTGCGCATGTAGTCGTCATGCTCATGCTCATTCTGTGTTAGCATCGTAACCGATGCATGCATACACACACACACACACTTTTGTCACATTGAATACAGCACATTCAATATGGAGGCATTCCATTGTTTTACAATGCGCACTCCACTCATCATTCGTTTCTAACACACATATACGAACACAGAGTCATGGCGGAGAAATGAGAGCTGTGATGCGTCATCTGTGTGAGCGCTATTGTTTATCAGCTGTTATTTCATAACGAATTCAGGGCTGCATAATTATTTCATAAAATGAATTTCAGGGCTGTTTGTTTTTGTTTTTCAGGGCTATATTTTAAACATTCATTTTAAATGCACAAACGAGAAGAGGTAAAGAAAAAGAAAAGAAAAAAAAATGATTTTAGTATTTGATGGTGTATCCATCATTATCGATGACTAGCTGACATCGTGTTCGCAATGATCGGTATAAATTGCGGAAATATTCTGAAAATAACCAAAATTACACAATGAACACTTAGAATGGAAAAAATGATAATTTTATAAAAAATTAATAAACAGAAGCGAAACAAAATTAAATTCCATTGAAATGGAACTTACGCTCATCGGCGCCCAGAGTAGTCCAACGCTCTTGCACCACTTCATCCAAGGTCTCAGCGTTCATGGGAATAATTCTTGGCCAATCCCTTTCCATTTCGGCCCAAAAATTCTCGATGGGATTAAGGTCTGGGCTTTTTGCTGGCCAATCCATCAATTCAAATCTTTGACGAGAGAAAAGAGCCATGATGGATTCGGCTGTGTGGACACGTGAATTGTCTTGCATGAAAATTCGTGGCGCCCCATCGTCTTCGAATCGATTCATTAATGGGATGACATTCCTTCTGAGGATCCTCGCATATACTTGCCAAATGAATCGGCCTTCAATTTGAACAAGATTGGTCACCGGACCCTCACAACCAATGGCACCCCAATAATTATTCGAAATGCGCCCACTTCGATCCTCTTCCTTCAAATATTCAGGAAAGTATCGAGTGTTGTCAGGACGCCAGACTTTGGTACGCCGCGAAACTTCAGTGCAAAACATTTTCTCGTCACTGAAAATGATGGATTCGAGCTTATTCTCATCCCATTCATCGAGGAGAAGCTGGCAAAAAGCCATACGGTTGATACGATGTTCTGGTGTGAGGCGAAGTGTTTTCGCAGCAGTTCGACAATTTAGCCCACGACGATGAAAAAGCGCTGAAATGACGTGAGCACCGACGCCAAATTCACGACCGAAACTAACAGCGGTCAAATGTGGATTTTCACTGATACGTTCAATGATTTCGTCCTCATCTTCAGGACTCAGAACGGGAGGTCGACCTGATCGGGGACGCACATCCACGTTGCCTTCTTGCTCATGCCTATTCCACCATCTTCTGGCAGTTCTCTCCTAAAATATTAGCCCACAATCGTTCCAAAATTACAATTAACTCGACAATTTCGAAATTAATCACAAAAAATATATTGGGCACTTGAGCACAACCGATTATTTTTTTTCCAATAAGATTCACTGTGGAGGACAGGTCAAGATCGCCCACATAAATATATTTCACGATAACAAAAATATCTTACGCCGCATCCGCACTCGTCTGCGATTTGTCGCCAAGTCATTGAGCTGAATTGCCTCAATGAAATTATTTTGGTTTTAATTTGTGCCGATAATTGTTGATGATCCATGATAAAATCCAATTTTTACGCCGAATTTCAATTCGAACGGTATCGTTGCCGATGGTAATGTCGAAATATGACATTATGCAAGTTTGCAACAGTTGAAAAAATAAATAAGTGCAACAAATTTGTGTGACACAAATTTAAGAAAAAGTTCAGAATTTCAGAAGAAAAAAGATCAGGATTTCATTCCATAAAAATAGGCCCTGGTAACAACAACAAAAATCATATAGTATTCCCCTTCATATGGATTCACATATGATCACATATGAAAATGAAGGAGAATTTCAAATGTCAACCAATACAAACATCTTCAATATTGTGACACAATTAGAACAATGAAATGAGTGACGAAGAGGTTGGCGACGCTGTTGGTGTATATATGTGTATAGTTCCATTTCAATGCACCATCTGAATGATTATGCATGAGAAAGTGAGACGCACACACAACAACATTCTGATCCAAATGCCAACAAATACATACGAATGCACGGCTCGCTCCTCGCAATCGCAAGTCGGTTGCTTGTCATTCGTTTGAAATGTCATTGCATGTCTCTATACAGCATTGTAGAGTGAGTAGCACGACTATATGCTACAAGACGCGGAACTGCCAACAACTGTCAATGCGGTCAAGACATATCGCTCAGACTGTACGTCCCCGAGTGAGTCCATTTATGTATGTTGGCCATATATACTGCATATTTTAAGGCTACCGACGGTATATACAATTTTTCGACAATCCTCTCAAATTTTACCCTAATTTTGTAGTGGAATTTTTTGACCAGAATTCCCAGAGATGACATAAATGTATATCAATACCACCGTATTGTCTTTACTGTATAGACAGACATATATATTAGACTGGTTTTTTCTTCAACTTTTTTCGAATTTTATGCGGGTAAATATTTTATTCGTTGCAAAATGACCAAAAAAATCTAAGTCATGAAACACGCGTGTTGTGGAAAAAGTTGGCACAAATGCTTTGCATGTATTTCACTCCAATTATAGCTATTTTTGATATTTTACTTCATTTTACCCCAATATTTTGCGAAATGCCAGGAAAAACGAAAAGAAAAATTTCGTGAAAAATTTAAAAAATCGAAAACAAATCCAAAAAATCGGCAAATTTTAGACGGCTTATCATCATTATTCGTCCTAACTCATTCCATTCTATCAATAAATCTCCCCAAAAATGCGCAAATCGAAAAAACAATTTTAAAGTCCAGACTTTAATTAAAGTCCGGACTTTAACGGAAAATCTCAAAAAAATCCAAAAAATTAATGAAACCTTCGGATGTTTTGATGCAAAACATCATTATTGGGCCCAACAATTTTCATGCCAACGAAATATTTCAAAAATATCCACTAACAAAAATTTTGACTTCGGACTTTAATCAAGGTTGAGCACTTGGAATCAGCATAAGACCATTTTTTTCCATGGTTTAGTCTTACGTGGCCGTGCCCATATGATACACAGTTTGAAATCTACGCACACATCCATGCGATTTTCAGTAGAGTGCAGTGGTCTATACGTAATTACGTAAAGTCTGACGTTTGAAAGCGGTTTCGGCGTTGACAGATGCTTAGTTAACTAACACAAGCACAGAATATATGTTTCTCCGCCAAAACCACTTCTAAACGCCAGACTATACGTAATTCCGTATAGATCGCTCTACTCTAGAGCGGTCCAAAAAAAAAAGTTGTCCCTCATCCGGAATGTTCAGCCAGTTTCGAAAAATATACCTCAAAAAAATAGGTTTTGTCCAAAAAAACGACATGGGTACCATATAAAATCATGAGGCAAGCCCCATATGAAATTTTTCATGACAGCGATTTCGGAAGCCATTTTGGATCGCAACATTTCGACTAATTCCATTATTCCAACCAAATTTCGACAAAAAGTGTTGATGGGGTTTTGTTGTTGAAGTTTAAAAATAATCAAAGTAATCATATGTTTAGAAATGTATTTGAAATAAAATAAAAACGTTCATTCACTCAAAGAACTTAAAACATATTAGTTCTATTTATTTTATCTTTCTATTCCTACATCAACAGGGTTATGGGCCCAGAAGACGTTTAAAGAAAAATAAATAATAAAAAGTGAATCAAAATTAAAAAAAAGGAAAGAATTTAATTTGAAAATTAAAAAAAATAAAAAAATAAAAATTATGGAGAAAATCGGTATTGAAAAACTAAATAATCAAAATTATTATTCATGGAAATACAAGATGGAAATGTTACTGATTAAAGAAGAAGTGTGGGAAGTGATTCGAGACGAAGCACCTGCTGGAAGACTACAAACTCGTTCGCAAAAGAAAGATGACAAAGCTAGAGCGTTAATTGGACTTTCGGTTGAAAATTCACAATTAGTACACATTCGAGATAAAAATACAGCGAAAGCTTCATGGATTGCTTTGAAAAACGTACATGAAAAGGATACAGTAACATCAAAAATCAGTATCTACAAAAAAATTGCACTAAGCAAAATGGACGAAAAAGACAATCCAGAAGAACATATCAACAAAATGAGTGAACTATTTCAAAGATTGAGGGATTTGGGAGGAGTATTCGAAGAAGACTGGATGATTGGAATGCTGTTTACATCTTTACCGAAAAACTATTCAACTTTAATAACAGCTTTGGAAGGATCACGAGGTGTTGATTTGAATTTTGGAACAGTGCAAAGCAAAATTCTGGATGAATATCAAAGGCAAAACGATTTGTTCAGTAATGAAAAAGAAGATGATGAAAAACTCATGAAAATTGACAGCTTCAAAAAATGTTTGCTTTGCGAAAAGGGTCATAGAACTGAAGACTGCGTTTGAAGAAATTACGTGAATTTGAAAAATACGAAAAACTTAAACAGAATAAGAAGTTAAATGGCATTGTTGAAAAATATGATACAAGTGATACCGATGATGAAGAAACAAAAGGATCACATCATACACTTTTGTGTATCAAAGGAAACATAGCAAATTCAAAAACAAAGTCAGAGAAAAATTACAGATCAAAATTGCAAAAGAGCACTGAGATTTTGAACAAAATCGTAAAAATCGAAATTTCAAACGAAGATAGCATTGACGAAAAATTCAAGAAGTTGAATCAACTGACACAATTCTTTCGACAGTTGGAAGAAAACAACGTACAGTTGAAGGAGAGTTTTAAGATTGGAGTAGTAACATCAAGTTTGAAAAACTACAATAAATTAATTTCGACAATTGAAATTAATTCTTATTCAAGTTTAAAACAAACAATTCCATTTATTAAAAATTGGTTCAAACGAGAGGAAAATTCCAAAGAAAACGAAGAATGCAAGGATCAAAAGTACTCGAAGACTGTCAACGATTTCATCAGAGAATCAAAGAAGAACAAAAACGTTTTCGACAGGAATGGAAAGAAAAAGAAGATCGAAATCAACAAATGCGAAACAAAAGAGAAGAAACAGCAGGAAAAAATAGTGAAGGTGAACAAGCTGTTGAACATTGGGAATACCAAATCAGAAAACATCGAACCATGGTGTGGGTTAATGAACTCCAAAACATTAATCCTATGATTAAACGAAAAAGAAAAATCAAAGAGAGAAATGAAAAATCAAAAGTTTATTTATTTTATCGTGAATTTGAGCATGAATATGGAAAAATGAATGGACACTTTTATTGGAAAGCATTGAAACAAGAAGACATTTGGTCAAATGCTGAAGAAGAAGAATTAAAAATTAAACAAAAGTAACAAAATTTGTTCTCATTACCAAAGATCAGAATTCGTTTGCTATCATGTTGAAGTTTAAAAATAATCAAAGTAATCATATGTTTAGAAATGTATTTGAAATAAAATAAAAACGTACTACAACTAGCTACTGGTCCCCCAGGTGGTAAACTTTTGTTCAGTTTTCGAATCGTGTCGTGTAGCCTGTTCGGTGCTGTATAAGACAAATTTCAGGCCAAAATGAGCAAATCACAAACATGAGCTTCGGTTTGACAGGTAAAAGCAAATGATTTCTACCTTTTCTGCCTTTGAACATCAAGTATGGTCTTTTACGAACATTTTGGGTACTTACATGACCAAATCGAGTGAAGTTTTCACATATTTCTGGCCTCATATTCGATTTCAACTCCCAAAAAATCGACTTTTGACCAATAAATTCCTAAGTATAGGCTTTTTAGGGATGGTGTCTTGGCGTAAAGTTATTTTTTCTCGAAAATATGGGGAGTCTACCCAGACAAAAACTCTCAAAATTGACTTTTTAAGGTACCTCCCAAACAAAAGTTACGTTTTTCATGCATTTTTCTATGAAATTATCAATTTTTGTTCGGGAGGTACCTCAAAAATACACTTTTCGGATGAGTTTCTTAGAACAAAGTTATTTTTTTCGAGAAATATTGGGAATCCACTCACAGAGAAGCTCTTATAAATGATTTTTGATGAACTATTTTTTTGAGGTATATTTTTCGAAACTGGCTGAACATTCCGGATGAGGGACAACTTTTTTTTTGGACCGCTCTAGTCTACTCTTTTAAAAATCGCATAGATGTATGCGTAGATTTCAAACTATAGTTTTCCTAACATATTTCGATTTTTTTCAGAAAAAGTGTTTTTCAACAAAATTGGATTTTGAATTTCTGGGGTTTTAAATTCGGATTTTGTTTAGTTTCTCACGAAGAATTTTGTGGTGGTTTCAGTTTGAAGCTTCGATTGAGCATTTTGAAAAATTCACCCAAAAATGCTAGTTAATAAGATACCGATCTTATTAACATATTTTCGTTATTAACCTGGCAAATTTTTCAAAACGACTCATCATAAATGAAAACTTTCCTTTTTTTCTTTTTTTTTTCCACCATAAAATTCTTCATGAAAAACTGAACAAAATTCAATTCCAAAACCTCAAAATTTCAAAATCGAATTTTGTTAAATACACTTTTTCTGAAAAAAATCGAAATATGTTAGGAAAACTATATTTCAAACCGTGTATCATTTTAAATTTTATTCCAATAACAAATTATTATTCATCCTTTGGACACTCAATATCAATACATACCTGAATGTTTTTTCCTGGCTTTGATTTCTGTTGAATAGAAAAAAAATAACTATATAAAAATTATAGCATAAAATGAAGATTATATCAAATGAGTACAGAGAGCGCATATTTGTTGCTGAGCAGGCCTGAGCTGAGTTGAATTTGCTGAATCAGGCGCCTGAAGCGGTATTTTACCACACTTACGGTGGCTAGGTTTCATTTCTAGCTTAGATCCACCTTAATATCCATATATATATAAATCGATAAATCGGATTGTTCGTCCGTGCGTCTGTCGCGAGTGTTTGCCCCTTTTTTTAATTCATGGCTTTATTGTTATGCGTGCCGTTTGATTTCTCGCGGCCTCTAGAAGGTTTTTTTCATTTATTTCATTTTATTAACACCGCCAAAAAACTGGCTGAATAATTCGTTTTGCAGGAAAATGACTCTAAGATAAACGTGTCAAATGGACAAAATTTTGTCCGTCCGAAAAATCATTCGGATATGCGGACAATTGTCGGATGGACAGCTAAATTCGGACAAATTTTTTTTTGTCCGTGTCCGTTTGACACCTTTACACTCAGAGTCATGGAAAACCTGATGTTTTGATTTTTATTAATATTGGTTTTCGACTAGTCAAAAGAATAACCAAATTTATGAATAAACGATTGACCAAACATGAAAATATCTAATAAAAGCCGATTGTCAACGGTTCAAGATAATCTAACAACGCGTTTGAGAAAATATAGACTAACTGCGTTAAACATATTAATGTCGACCTCAATGACTGCAAAAGTCATCGTTCAATTTATCAAATAGGTGGTAAATTGAAGAGAAGTTTCACGTCTAATCTAAACAAGTCCCTGTTGCTAGTTTTGAATTCATAATTCAAGTCGAGACCGAAAGATATGACTAATTTGAAAATCTTATAAATGCAGTTTTGATTTTCAAATGAAATTTTCAAAAATTAGAAGAACATTTTCTTCATGTTTTTCGTTACTATGCTAGATATACAAGCTGATAGCCATGGATAATTTAATTCCTCTAGACCACGTAATAGCAGTACTTGAACAGTAATTGTATGTAAGCACTGTGGGCACCGTACATGCGATCAAATTTTTATTTCAAATCCTACTATAGGTATGCATTTTGATTATATTGATATTATTCATTCGATGAAAACAATCGAAATGGCACACAAAAAGTCATTATTTGGAGAAAAAAAAACAATAAGAACTCAAATGAGAAGACGTTCAGAAGGAAAAATTAAATATGATCTTCGTCTTGAAGTAATATATAAAACTGAATGTTCGTTTGTTTGTCTGTCTGTCCTAATTTTCGTTAATTTTATGATTGTTTTGTTAATTTATGTATATGTTAGAATCTTTGCGTTTTAAATAACAGATTTATATATTAGTTTGGTTCTTCGTAATTCATTTTTAGAAGGAGTGGAAAATTTTCGTCTGTTTTCTGTGACTTGATGAATAAATGTAATTTGAACCAATTGCTAATAAGAAGACAGATATCACGTATAAAATCAATTCCAGAAAGAGGATCAACTTTCCCAGAAAATCGCCTTTGGCTTATAAAAGATAATGACTTGATGTCTTCAGCAATGTTGTTGTACTTGACCTGCCCTACAACTTTGCTGAAACAGATATCACTTATCTTCTATCAGTTACGTGAAAAATGAGAAGGCGAATACTCGCATTTTCGCGGTTTCTCGCGTATTTCGCGGAGTTGATAAGAGATAAGCGATATGTGTCTTCAGCAAATTTGTAGAGCAAGTTGAGTACTACAACTTTGCCGAAGATACCAAGTCGCTATCTCTTATCACGGTCCAGTTTTCATACAAAATTCACTTAGGGCGCTGTGTTGTGCAGGAATGTGTTGCGAAAACAAGAAAAACAGTCATAGTGTTAAATTTGGATAAAGGACTCGGTTTTTTGCGAAAGTATGCTACGTTAGCAGCTTCGGTTGCGTTTGTCACCATTTAGCTCTGGTGAAAAGTGTGCATTTCGCATTGGTCAAAATGTTGATTGACGAAGACGAATTAATTGAATCTTTCATGAAATGACTTCGAATAATTGTTCTATTGGTTGTCGAAAAACGTTTGTTTCGTTTCATGTTCGTTTCATTTTGAATGTGCTGAGATATTTATTTGCGTCTGAACATCCAATTGATAATACAGTTGATGCAGTGCAATTATTGTTTTTGGATTTGCCGTACTTACTGCTAAACGTGGAAGCGGAAACCAATTTTGTACTTTGTTTGCGATAATCTAACGGCTTTCGTCCACTCCAATCCAAATCGTCACGGTTCGCCTCTATAAAAAAACAATACAATATTTGCTTCAACATATTTTAAACAGAAATAAGAAATAAAAACAACTTACTGTAAACATTGCAAAGTAACTCAAAAATATTATCCTTGCCGAATTGTACAGCTAAATGCAAAGGTGTATAGCCCTGTGGAGAGATGTATAGTTCAATGGTTTAAAATGTTCGTGTTTGCTCATTGGTGAATAAACTGAGAGGTAAGAGTATATTTTCAAGTTTTTACCGTTACATGAAATTGTACAATGTACATTGGTACTAACTTCGTTTATTTTATTTTTTTCTCCATGGGGGTCCAAAACTTTGGGATTTTTAATTCCAAAACCGATTCTGTTTTTATGTTTAATTATTATCTGTGACTAACTACAAATTTAGATTAAAACGTTATTACCAATACGATACTTGAACATTTTCATTTCCATACATTATGATGTATTGGTTATTGTGGTAGCATTGCTTTTAATACAGAAGTTAAGCTGATTTTTTTTATTTTTAGTGATCTGAACTTTATTGTACTCTGTATGCTATCTAATCCATCCATACATTGTGATGTAGTATATTTCTATTCGTGAGACGTAAAAGAATATATGTTTTTTTTCTCGATTTATATTTTTGAAAAGGAAAGTATGTTTTCTGTTGAGTCTATCTGCGTTAAAAGAAAGTATGTTGGCATCCCGTCTAGTCTCCGCGGTTTTTCACGGTTTCCGCGGAACTGATGAGAGATAACAACTTGGTGTCTTCAGCAAAGTTGTAGTACTCGAGGTCTTCTATTCTATTCATTGCTGAAGACAATTATCTCTTATCTCTTATCAGTTGCACGCAAATTGCGCACATAAAAAAGCAAATTTTATATAGAACTTTTTTTTCTTATAATTTTTCGCGCCTTCACTTTTGACCGAAAATTTTGGATACATTTTTTCTACCAAATAGTCCGAGCAGGGTTTTTCTTTTAGATTTTATATTAAAATGAGTTCCATCTGAACATGATACATGTGAATAGCTCTTCTAGCATAATAGTGAGGCAAATCTGTCTAACTTTTCAACTGCACATGCGGTTGATAGATCGTCAGAAATCATGGTAACACAATTGTTTTATTTTCTGTCTTGAAAAATGGTTTCGTCAAATAGCATGATGCCACAAATTTTGTGGATGTCACAAATGGAAAAAATAGCTGTCATTGTCGTGATTGACATGTATTTTATTACTTTATTTTACATTTTAATGCAACCTTTTTAGCACTACATGAAATGTAGAGCTACTAATCTTTTTTTTCTAGATACTTTTTGAGTGTTGAAACAAATTATGGTGAATTTGAATTTTATGCTCATATTTTTTATTTAATTTTAAACAGTGGCAGTAACGACAAATAAGTGCATAATATTTCAAAGCGCCAATCAAATTTTTATCAACAAATGTTGTTTAAAAATTACATTAATTTTTCGTATAATATTTTCTGAGTTACTTTGATGAAATACATTTCATGTAGTGCGCCAAAAAATAGTTTGTTGTGAAACAACAAAATAGATTTAAAAACTCAAGAACGCAGAGCGGAGCGAAGCGGGGCTCTGCGGTCTTGTTTATTCTTCCCTGGTATATATCTGATTTATGCATTTTAAAGCCAGTTGAAAAAAATAAATCATTTGTAGGGTTCCCCGAAGTTTACACATATATAGAACTACGATTGAATGAAATCAAAAGGGGTGATAAATGGTATACACCAAGCGGACGCCGCATGTTACTTTCACGCTTTGAAAATATGTGTTGTGAATAGAATATTAGATACATTTACCCACTTGTTATTTGTATATTAAATGGCTTTATCCCGATAACTCCCAAGATTTTTTTTATCTCTTTCTTCAATTTTGAAAATATTCTGGGGACATAATCTTTAAGATGTAAGGATCAAAACACTATTTTCACAAAGAAGATTTAAACTGAGTGTTCTGTCAAATTTGCGCACCAATACATCCAATTTCATGTCCATCGTATATGTATAGAAATTTCTATTAAACGTTCAACATCTATGCTGACTGACATTTGTGTACGCTAATCAAGCGACAAACAAACACGCACAAACACACACCAACAAGCGCATGACGATTGAACATTATTTCTGTTCTTACTCGTTTCGAGGCGATTGCTACATTCATATAGCAGCGTGTGAATGAAATGTAAACAGTCAACGTGCCGTTCTCTCCACTTATCGTAGCGGCACAAACATCTACTGTATTAAGACTCATAATAAAGCAAGCGTTTGTCTGTATGCGAGAACAAAGCTGAAGGGGCGACGAAGGCTCTAACGCACGACAAAGTAACTTTGACAAATGATTTATATATGTATTAGTGCGTTAAAAGTGACAGAACAGAAATCGGCATCTCAGTTTAAATGTAGTTTCGATTGAGGCCTTGGTTCGCGAAATATTGCCTGTTGTTGTTGTAATCAAGACTGCCGAATCGAAAAAAATATGAAAATTAATTTATTCCACAAAATTAAAAAGAAAAAAAAAAGTAAAAAAATATATTGAAATATTTCATTTGTTAGTGCTCTAAGAGTACTACGCTAAGGAAATTGTAGCTATTTCCAAAACAATAAATTGCAAAAATTGAAGCGAAATCCCTTTTTGGCTATTTTTGACTAAAAAAATCGGCACTTTTTCAAAATTCAAAATTCACTCAAATTTATGATGTCATATTTTTGAAATCTCCCGTGTAGTATAAAATATGTCTATTTTCTATTATATGTGCATTGGGTCAGTTTTTATTCACTTCTAAACGGAGGGACCTCTTCAGGACAATTCGCAATAACAAAAACAGTGAAATGGTACTATCGACAAAGGTGAGCAGCTTTGTTCCACCGTACCATTTTTTTCGCAGTTCGGAAGCGCGCGCGCTCATTCGGTCCTATACGCTCTCCTCTCCACCTCTGTGGGCACAACCATTTTTATTTTATTTCACTACGCGTAGAGTTAGAACCCACAAAAGGACTCATTTTGGGTCTAGTTCGTTATTGCATAACAAACTATAATTTGGGCGTTACATGAAATGTACTACATTACAATGTATGGATGGATTAGATAGATAGCAGATGGATTAAAAAATACACAGTACAATAAAGTTCAGGTCACGAAAAATAAAAAAAATCGTCTAAACTTCTGTATTAAATTCAATGCTTCCCAGAGCTGTTATAGGCACCCAATCGGTGCCGGCACTTACATTTTGAGTGCCGCACCTAGTACAATCACAAAAAATAAATTTCGATAGTTTATAATTTCATATGTGTCGCTGAGCATAAAAATGGGAATACAGATCTGTTACAGCA